GGCCTCTCTCATCTTTTTAAGTGGGAGAACTTGCACAATTGGTGGCTGACTAAATACTTTTTTGCCCCACTGTAAGTGACATTTTGACTGATAATGCTAAATTCTAAAATGTAAATGTTTGAAGGTTGATAAAGTGAATCAAGAATCCATTGCAATAACTATAAAGGCCTTTGTGAAATATGGCTGCAATACATATTTTTAAAGTTGCAGCCATATTAGACAGAGCTGTGGCAGATTTTTATTTTAAATTCAACAGCATGTTTCATATCAGAGCTGGCAGGATTTTATTCATTGTTCTTGCAGCCACAGTGTAAATGTGCCATATGTGAACAATCCGCCTGAGTGTTTTAAAAACAAAAAAAGGAGGCACTTTACAGAAGTTATAACACTAAGACTGACACTTGTATATGTTGCAGAGAACTTGGCTAATAAACCTTGCCACTGCTTCAGTGTTAAAGTTTATTTTAGAAGAATTCAAATGATGCTGTCTCCATAATTAATAATTATTGAAATGAAAGGGATGTATAGAAACACTGAGTTCAAGATTTACTTTGTATTTTTCTATCTAGAAAACAAACATTTCTGTGTTGTTTTTGTATTGGCTTGTAGGAAATTTTGGGAAAGGTTTATTGCCCTGTGTCATGATAATGAAAGTCTTCATGGTATCACATTTGATCAGATCAAGGCTCAGTTGGAAGCTCTGGAATTAAAGAAAACCTATGTACTGAATCCACTGGCTCCTGAGTTTATTCCACGGGCTCTGCGACAGCAGCATTCGTCAAACACCAATAAACCACAGCAATCTCCACCAAAGGTAACCTCTGAGAAAATGATTAAAAGGTTGCAAGAAGTTGTTAAGAAATACCATAAAAGCATACTAGCTGTTGTGCATACTAAAGAGCATGGGTGGGCTGGCAGGGGCCATGGGCAGGCACTATAGAGTGTGGGTAGGGTGGCAGGTGCCGCAGGCGGGTGCTACAGAGCGCAGGTGGGCCGGCGGGCTGCTATGGAGCACGGGTGGGCAGCTACTACAGAGTACAAGATCCCTGGAATCTTGTACTCCATAGTGGGGCTCCTTGGGAGAAAAACATCAGGAGTGATTTATGGAAGCAACTTGTGACTTCCTGCTGGCTTCCCCATTAACTTTGCTTGTGGGAATCTGGCAGGGAAGATCACAAATGGCGCATGACCATGGCTTGCTACAATGTCGTATTCACGAGCTGAGCGCCCAAGCCCTCAAATTGCCATCACATGATCGCAGGGATACTGTGACGGCCGCAGCTTTGCAGACCAATCATAAATCCCCCTTGTTCAGCTCTGTTGTAACTTTGAACAGTTGCTGAACAAGTGGTTGTAACCCGAGGACTACCTGTTAAGTGATACTGTTGTCATGGTTGTTTTGTTTTTATCTGTTGTATTTTATGAATTTTATTTGTTTATGATGTAAGCTGCCTCGCTGTTCAGTTTGGACAGAAAGTTGGGAGTTTGCATAAATAAACCTTCTTAGTGACTGATTAGCAAATTAACTGAGTGTCAAGAACTCGGTTTGGTGGGGTTGGAGATAAAAACAATATAGCTCTAAATAGTCATATTCTATATGGAATTCACTAATCAGTGGCATAGAGTAAGGCTTTTTCAAAGAACAAAATTGCATTATAAGTGTAAAGGTTTAAAAGCAATTATAAGCATAATGAATTTTAGATTCATTCTGATAATATAGTAATAGATTCCCTTAAAACAATGAAAAAGAGTCTTCTAAAACCATTTGAAGTCTTGCAGTTTATATTTGGGAGGGGGGAATTATTGTAATCAACAGTGATAGCCCTGGTAGAAAGCTAAAAAAACATTTATCTAACCCTAAATATGTGAAGAAGCTATAATAGCCCCCAGCCTTTTAAAATGTAATTTTTCTTTTAATACATTTTAGAGAGACTATCATTATAGAGTAACTACTGAACCAGTTTGTCATTCTTTCTCATTCATGTTATTCATAGGTCAGTATTTATTCAGGCTTTATAAACAGACTGATTAATGTGTTCAGACTGCTGGAAAACTGTATAGACCTTTCCCCTGAGGAAGTAATGTTCTTAAGCATCAGTGAGTTTTAAAATTTGGTGCTTGACAGCATATTGAAAAATAGGCATTGGGAAAATCTCCATCTTTTAGTTTCTTCCTGCCTCCCTGTTAGAGCTGTACTTATGGTAAACCTAGTGGATGGAGAATAAGAAACGATGGGTCTTTGGAGAAAGAGCACAAGTTGTCCTAGGCAGCCCACAGTGGCAAATCCTTCTACTGAACATTAGGAGAGAGAAGGGTAACTGTTTCAGATGAAGGGGCCTGGCCAGAGTGAAATGGAGCTTTGACATAGATGAGAGCCAGTTAGTTGTGGCCCTGGATCTATATATGTCTTACTTTTATTACCACACTATATTTTGCCATGTTTTCTTTTTCCACTGTATTTTTTCACTGTGGCGCAGTATTGTACTTTGCTGTTCTGAAGGCTCTTCCATTCTAGATTGTATAGCTGGGAGCCTTGCTGTGATGGGGATGAGGGGGCTGGCTTGGACTCCGAATTAGTACAAGATCTCTTCTATATCTTCTACTTGCCTATTTCATTGGTTCTGTGGTTAGCATTGTTCTCTGGGTTAAAAAGCTAAGGCTAGTTAGCTGCCTCTTTTTTAGTCACATAAAGAACCCTCAGAAGGTAGACTTGATCTTGCAGAAATCATACTTACATCTCCAGGGGCAGGTTCAAATATCCATCTCCAATTTTCTCTTCATTGTACTTTTAAACTGAGACACCAGCTTCTGCTGTGAATCTACCAGTATAACTTCCATTCTTCCAAGTACCAGAGGACTTATCCTTCTTCCCTGCAAAATGCTTATTCCTCTTACAAAAGTGGGAGTACAAGTTTGTTGATGGTAATGCTACAGAGATTGGCTGTTTAAAAGGCATTTTCATGGTGGTGCTCTAACATTTGTCCTTTGGCAATGACTATTGTTATATATTTTCTACCATAACTATACTGTTAATTCTACTACTAGATGAGTATAAGTTTGCAAGTGTGCAGTTGGTACCTTATCTTGATTTTAAAATTACCTAGTGTACATGAGAGTGTAGGAGCAGACTGTAGATTCTACACTCAGGATATCATACTTTTTAATCAACAAGAGGAATTGGTGTATTTGCAACCTGCTCCATTTTTTAATTAGAATAACAAATTTTATGAATGCCTTTTGTTTTAATCTTGATTTGCTAAAGAGAAGATTATAGATAAATAGCTGATAAATAGATGATAGATCATCTTCTCTTTTCACTTTTCTCTATGCCAGTCTGGTGTATTTGTTAAAACATTGGACTAGATACCAGGAGACTGAGTTCTAGCCCTTCCTTAGGCATGAAAGCTGGCTGGGTGACTTTGGACCACTTTCTCTCAGCCTACCCTAGCTCACAAGGTTGTTGTTGTGAGGAAAATAGGTAGGAGTGCTATGTATGCTGCCTTGAGTTGTACAAAATAAAGGCGGGATATAAATCTAAATAAAAAATAAAAAATGTTTTAAGGTAACTCTTAGCTTATATTGGGCAGCAGAGTGAATCAATTCTGGGTTTGAAAATATGCTCAAGAATTCTGAGATGTGTCTAATAATTCTGTGGAAAACTTACAAATGTAGAAAAAGTTATTTGTTATTAGAACTTTTAACAATCACTGCTTTAGTATCTTCTAACAATTAAAAGATCCACTGCTCTAGTATCTTCTAAGCTGCTCTATTATCTTCTGAATTATTCAACCTTCTAAACCAATAAAGGTCTGTTGACTTCATGGGAAAGAAAGGTAGAGCCAAAAGTGACAGAGTTCGCAAATATCAAGATTTATTGTATTGTTCCACTCCACTCCTCACCCCCATCCTATAAGAAATTAAGCTAGGCGGTTAAGCTCTCGAGTTTTAAACGCCTGGATGATTTGAAAAGATGCCCATATAGTGGAGTCAATTGTATTTGAGAGCTCTAATTTTATATTTGAGATGCCTCCAACATTGACACCCTAATTTACAAGAATATTATGTGATCAGAGTTGATTTGCCATGTATACATTTTCAGCTGTGGAGTATAAAACACTCAGAATTCTAAAAATAACCAATACAACAGAGATAATACTTTACATTGGAACTCTTCAGTTATATAGCTCTTTCATGTATTATTAGAGGGATTAGACTAAGTTTGTTCCCTGCTGTCTCTGAAATTGATCATATAGTATTTTCTACAGCCATCTAAAATTATTGTAAGGATTATTTTTTATTTACTTTTTATTTATTAATTTTGTACTTATGCCACTTTGTTTCTGCATGACACTGTACAAGATCCGCCCCCCGCCCCCCATTTAATGTTCCTGACAGTCCCGTTAATCTGAGGGCCAGTATTTCCCTACAAGTATTTCACCATAGTGTGTATTTGTATTGTACTGCAACACAATACATAATTAAACAAATACAGCATTTTGTTGCATTGCAATTAATAAAATGTAATCCTGACTCTGAGGCAGAGAGATTTTGGTTTGTGAGGGCTCAGTCAAATTACTCT